GTTAAATTCTGACTATTTGCAGCTTTGCACATGAAAAAATTGAGCATCAAATAAAAGCATTGCTCCAGTAAAGTGGCAGAAGGTTTTTGTACAGAATGATGAATTATGTCCAATATTTAAAACTAATCTCTTTCATTACATTTGTCTCTCTTCACTTTGAAGCTCTTTTTTTTTTTTCCTCCATGTTTCTGTCATTTTGAGGTAGAGAAAAAGACAGATACTATACTTGTGTCATGGAAAATTATTACATGATTCAGTAACACCATACATAAAGGAACAGTAACTGACAGATGCATAGGAATTTCTGTGCCAGATCAGACTAATGGTGCACATAGTTCAGTACCTTTTCTCCTGGGATTAGACAGTTCTAGATGTCTGTGCATGTGGAACTGATGGGTTTGGTCCTCAGCATTTAGGAAACCTGCTGCCAGCTCTGTGACAATCGCTCTGCAGTGTCTGTCATTCAAGGAAAACACAGAACAGGCTTTTCAACAGAAACAGGCATTTATTTCACATTGCTGCTGGTTCTGGGACATGATGAGCCTGACGCACTCACTCTGCTCCTGAGTGCTCCTGTGTACATGGAGCAGCAGCTCACCCACCTTACCTTCAGCTTTGTAAGGTTCTCAGGGGCATCACTCCTCAATTTAATTAGCTAGCAGGGCATGCCAAAAGTTCTGAGCATCTAAAAGGCTTCTTTCTTTGCTTCTGTGCCCTCTCTGTAATTCTTCACATCAGGCATTTTGAGTTTGCTGATATATCCCAACCTTTGTTGGGGAGGATAATGGGCCACAGCTGCCAGGCACACTGTTCTGCTGGAGCTTTGAAATATGTTTAGATTTTTAATTAAAGGAACTGTTAATACCTCCTGTTTTCAGAAAGATGTCTAACATGTAAAATAAGAAAAAAAATCAAATGAGACGTGGCAAAAATGCAGTTATGGCCTGTGGGACTCAGTGTCAGTTGTCTTCCTGTAGTTTTTCCACATAACAGATGACAGGCACTTTTTAGTGTTGTCAGCTCAGAGAAGAGATGGCATTTTGTGAAGGCTGCCTTTCTTTCATGCATAGTTTGAGGTAAAGAATGAGGTGTTTTGCAACATGTAGTTCCAATTCTGCCTTTAAATGTGTGCCAAACTGTGCTGTTGTCAATTCTGTAGAGAAAGTGAGCATGTGTAGGTGTGGGTGAGGGGGCAAATTTCATTTCAAGGGCTGGTCTCTGAGCAGTTCTCCAAGCTAAGCAATGTGAGCCTAATATTCTAATTCCAAGGGGACACTTGATACTGCACGGTAAAATTGCTTATTAAATTACAATCAAGAAAAAAAATCAGGAGATAGACACTGTTCAGCAGGCAGCATGGAGGGAAAAAAAAGGCTGAATTCTAATTATTTGAATAGCAGAGTTAGTGCTATTTCACTACGTGGAAATAAAATTAGGTTGTCACTGATACCATTATTAATGTATGAGAAGATGCAGAAAAACAATTTGGTTCCTAACACCCCTTCTGCCCCTCCTACCCACCCCCAAAAAGAGAGAGAATAAAATAAAAGCAAAATGGACTTGCATAAGGGCTTTCTAATATGGGCAGCTGTGACAGATTTCATTGCTGTAGTAGTGTAATGCAGATGATTTATAAATTACCTTAATTTGAAGGCGAGGCGTTGTGTAAACAGTATTGCATTTATTATTTTCCCAGTTAGATCAAAATGTAAAAAGGCATATCCAATATCAGTAGCACTGTTTATTACTCTAATCAGAAACAGAAAATATATTTTCAGCTACTCTAAACCTTATGTGTTCTTTTATTATGCATGAGCAGCTATTACTGCTGTTCAGTCATATACATCTCTTAAGGTAGTCACATTGCAAGCTCTGCCTTTTGAATGGCTTTCCAACAAATAAAACAACCTTTTTGCATAAAAAGGTATTCTGCAAACATAATTAAGTACTGAAATCTACATTTTTATGAACATAACATCTTCATACACAAGATGAATCCATTGGAAAAATTTTAGAGGTTTTGCTTCACTTTGTCATTGGAGCCAGCACAAAAGGATTTTATTTTACATTACAACACTGAACACATCTTGTGCCCTTGAATGTGAACTGCCTTGAATTTGGTTAAGATTCTGTTCTCCAGTCTCATTTTCACACTCAATGAGCCACTACTGTTTCAGCCCAAAAGGGATCAGTCAGTAAAGCTGCATCATGAAACTGGTTGTAGAGTCTGATCAGATTCTTTAAAACTCATTTATATTTAGCCAGTAGTCACAAAGCTAGCTTCAAATGCTGCTCAAGATATGCCTTCCCTTTTGAGTATAATTTGGGAATACAACATCAGATTTATGAAAAGGATACAGTTTAAAGACAGTTTTCCTCTTATGTTATTCATACTATGTTATAAACATTAAGAGTAAAATCTATAAATATCCAAATGACTTTTTTTTCATTTATAGATTTGTATTTTCCATACAAGTAGATATTTAATTATTAACATAAGAATTTTCATGAAAATTAAAAAAATAATGAATTATTAATAAAACTCTCCAGATTAGGAATCTGGCAAATAGAAAATTTGTTGATTTATTAGTTTGTCTTGATAAACAAAGTCTTACAGTAACTTAACCACCTAAGCTGGTAGACATTTTTTTAACCTGTCATCCTCTGAGATCTGATAAGATCTGAGACAAGGAAAGAAAGTATGGAAATTTTTTCTTCTGTATCCTCCCTCAAATACTGGTGCTACACTCCAGAAAGTGTCTTGAATGGGGATAAAGCAAGAGAGACCAAGGGGGATTGCTTGGTAAGACAAGGTTCAGATGGTGAACTCCTGTGTTGGAACAAGTGCTGCTGCTGAGGGAGAGTGTTTAGGATTGTCAGGGCAGTGTCTTTTGTGATGTGGATCACCATGATTTTTGTTTAACTCTTAAAAACTGCATGTATCCAGGTCCAAAGGAGGAGTTAAAATGCCTACCATGACCATGTGGCAGGCCAGGAAACTAATGTCCCCAAAAACCTGCAGAAGCCGGGAAACTAAGGATAGAATTATGTAAGTTAGAAATAAAGGACTAAACCCAAGCCAGTGAAAAGGATAAGGCCCATAACTTTGTGTTATGAGGAGATCCTTTGAACTATACTCTGCAGTTAGACCCTAAAACTGGCTGTTTCTGAGAGGACACATCCTTTTGGTTGGACATTTCAGTGTAAGGTGTACATTTGGGGCATTGAATAGCTAATTTATCCACTCCCTCAGGAAGCCTGGACTTGCATATCCAACCAAAACACCACTGCAACCAGACCACGAGATCAAACATCAAGTGCTCTTACCCAATTTCTTTAGAAGATATAAGCATTTCCTGGGGAAGAAACAAGAAATTAGCCTCGTCCTTCCTTGAGGAATGTCTTACCACAGCTCTCCTTTGTCACCCTGTTTCTTCATGCTGGTACCCAAAAAGCATTTGTAATTGCTTCCCAAGTAGAACAGCTGCACCAGGAAGGGACAAAGAGCATCACACACAGCAGGGGGGACATAAAGCCTTTTGCACCTCTGACCTGCCAGAGGAGTGATCTGACCACTAGGTTAATGGATTAGGAAAAGGTGGGTAGTGGAGGTACTCGGGAAAAAAATACAGAATTACACTTCCCTTCCTACTGCTAAAGTCAGTTTACCACAAGTGAGGAAGCAGAGCCTTTAAAAAAGCAGCTGCAAAATATGTAACATGGTACAAAGGACATCTTGGCTACTGTGATACAACATAAATGTTAACCATGCATTTTTTGTCAGCAAGTGAGAGTCAAAGAGGAGCAGTTGGCTTAGTGGCACATCACCACAGACACAGAGCTTGGCCTTTGAACAATTTATTGGTACAACAAACAGCTTCTCAGTCAGCCAGAGCGAGGCCTTAACAATTCAAGGACAATTTTTTATATATTCAAAGCAAATGAACAGAGATTTACATACTTGTTTTTAACTTTGGCTTCTCTTCAATTGCCAGACGGATGTTCTAGTTCGTTTCTTCTTTTGTTTCTGTCAGAAATACAATTATAACGCTGAGCAGAATCTGTTACTGCTTGTTGAAAGCAACTGCTGCCGAGTGAGCTCAGCTCTGCTGACTGCCTCCTTCTACCATCTAGTGGCACTTTCAGCACACTGCTCTCACCCTCTACTTGTTTTAAAGAGTTCTATGAGAATGATATTAAACATATACGTTTGAAAAGGGTAATGTTTCTGGAGAGGAAATACCTTTCTCTGAAATGGGAATGTAGTTTTCATACATAAATTATTACAAGAGAATACAAGAGATTCAATGGTCTAAAGAATTAATGTCAGAGAAAAGGTGATTGATTTCTAGTCTGGTGTTTTTTGTTTTTGGTTTTTTTTTTGAGGTAGCACTTGGATTTTTAGTTGAAAGCTGCAAAATGAAACCATTGAATATTCTAAAGAAATGCCTATTAGAAACCCAGTTGGTTTGCTATTTAGCTGGATGTTTAAAGGGCACAGCAAGAATTAGAAGACATTACCAAATGTAAAGCTTAATAGAAAGCCTATATTTTCCTTTCTGATTACATAATAGTATTAAGAGCTCTCAGTGTTCCATTTTGCAGCAGATGCTTCTGTTTCATATAAGGTAAAATTTTAAATGTCAATGAACTAGGAATTTCAGGCTTGGGATGTTTTCAATCAAAGAGTGAGTTCTGACTAATTATATGACTAAACACATGAATTATCTCAAATGCATTCTATTCTTTGAACTGAGGTTTGGTTTCTTTCACAAAATGCTGGTTTGGGTGAATTAGACTACAAATGAAACTAAATTTTTATCCGATTCTCAAAGAAGTTTGTTTCTTCCTTTCCACTTGCAGCAAACTGACAAGGCAAACTGATAGAAGTCAGAATGTAGAATCTCAGCATCCAGGATACTATTTTTTTTTCTTTTTTTTTTAAACATGTGCCATTCCCTATTCTGGTCATATTGACAAGCCTTCAACACGTTTTCCAGGGTGGGAAGATCCCCATAAGGTGGACTGCTCCTGAAGCCATAGCTTACCGCAAGTTCTCTTCGGCGAGCGACGCGTGGAGCTATGGGATAGTCATGTGGGAGGTGATGTCCTACGGTGAGAGACCGTACTGGGAGATGTCCAACCAGGATGTAAGTAATGCTCAGAATCAATCTGCAAGTTGTTGAGATGTTCCTTGAAAGTTTTGTCGCTCCCTGAGCTGCTTTGCCACCTCGTTCCCTTTCTGGGCTGGAATCTCAGCTTATTTAAGTCACCATAATTCTGTCAGCTTCAATGAGACAGTTCATTTATGCAGCCTGAAGACTTGGCCCTCTCTAACTAAAAGCTTGCCTAGCTTCCTACCATGGATTAAAGACAGATTACGAAGAGTCATAGCCAGCTTGCCAGGCTCTAATGCTGGTTATGTGTGGCTTTCCTCCAAATCCCTGGGAATCTACATCAGACAGGCAGGTTGATGTAGTTCTCAGGTAAGCTGTAAATCAACACTTATGGGAATACTGGAACTATTCTGATGATGATGGCCCATTATGACCAGTACAGTCTGACAGTATCCTTCAATGGGCATACATAGTTAAATTCTAAAAGAATTAAGCTATCATGAGAAATGTATTTGCCAATTCTCCTTTCTAAGAATTCAGTACATTCTTTTCACCTTAAGTCTACATATAGGCTTAACCACAGTGCAGGACAACAGTCCTACTTCATATCTAAGTTATGTTTTCCTCTGACTTTTTTTTTCCAAAAGTGGTGGCCAAATAAGCCTTCGCAATTAAAAAAATATATATATTTATTTCTAGTAAAATAGAAGGCTTGTTCTAGAAAAAGAAGCATGAAATGGTGGGGGGGTTTCTCTACCACAATTTAAATTTTCACAGGTTCTCTTTTGTGATGGATCCCCATGACAGCTCAAACTGGTATACTCAGTCTTCACACCAGCCATCAATCTCTATGTCAAAATGAGGAATATCAGCCAGCTCACCTTAACCTCTCTTACATATATGCCTGGAATACCTCTGCATTGGTTCTGAAGAATTGACAAGACTTTTCCCAGATGGCTGTTTTTATAATTCTTGCTAAGTTATTCAGCTCTGCAAGTCTGGTTGCTTGTTAAGGCTGATCAGTCATTTGGGGATAAGGATCTGAGAGAGACTTTCGTTTAAAAAAATAAAGTCAGAGTGTTTCAGGAACAAAAGAAAAGAAACCCAACCGAAACCATCCAAAACAGAAAAAAACTAGCAGCCATGCAATAGCAGAGGGTGTTATTCCTGAGGTAATCTTCCATCAGAAACAAAGCTGAACACAGCCATGGAAATATCAGCCTGTTCATCATTAGTGTGCTGCTGCAAAACCTGATTACCCTGCATTGCATGGAGTGCACGTTGTGTCAAAATGCACACACAGCCTCAAACTTTGTGCCTTCCCAAACTAAGAGATGCAATGTTTCACTGGGAGCCTTCTTTTAATGGAAGACTGAACAAGAAAAGAAGCTGGAAAAAGGAACTAGCAAATCACACAATAGCTGAGGTTGAGGGGCCCTTTGAGATTGCCAAGTCCAGCCCCTCTGCTCAAACAGGGTCAGCTGAAGCAGTTTGCTCAGGGCCGTCTGTGACCAGATTTTGAGTATCTCCAGGGAAGAAGCCCATGAAACCAGAGATATTTCTGAGCAAAGTTGGCCCTTCCATAGTGCCTGGGTTCTGTGCAATGCCAGTGCTTCCGAACTGCAAGGTCACCTCTCCCTAACTCTGCCAGTTTGTTTTCCCAGCCACAGGTGATGGGCAGCTGGCAGTGGCTGCAGCTTGAGGAGGAGGTAGGGAAGAAGATGCTTTGGTTTGAGTGGCCTGGTTTTGGTAGTGGGTTGGCTTCTCTGAGAAGCTGACAGAAGAATCCCCCATCTCCAATGGAGTCAATGCCAGCTGGCTGCAAGGCAATCCACTGCTGGCCAAGGCTGAGCCCATCAGCGATGGTGGTAACACCCCTGGGATAACATATTTAAGAAGGGGATAAAGAAAACTGTGCTACTGCAGCCGAAGAGAGGAGTGAGAATATGAGAGAGGAACAGCTCTGCAATCACCAAGGTCAGTGCAGAAAGAGGGTCTGGAGCAGAGATTCCCTTGCAGCCCATGATGGACACCACATTGAGGGAGCCTGTGGAGGCTCACCGTGCAGCATAGATCCATCTGCAGCCTGTGCAGGACCCCATGCCAGACCAGGTGGATGACCCAAGGAGGCTGTGACCTTGTAGGAAGCCCTCCCTAGAGCAGGCTTCTGGCAGGACCTGTGGCCCTTTGGAGAGATAAGCTCATGTTGGAGCAATTTTGCTGTCAGGACCTGTGACCCCATGGGGGACCCAGACTGCAGCAGGGGAAGAGCATGAGGAGTCCTCCCTCTGTGGAGGGAAGAGTGGCAGAAACATGTGATGAACTGACAAAACCCCCATCTCCCTGTCCCCCAGTGCCACTGGGGAGGAGGAGGCAGAGAAAATCAGGAGTAAATTTAAATCAGGGAAGAAGGGAGTGGTAGGGAGACGATGTTTTGAAGACATGGTTTTATTTCTCCTTACCCTACTCTGATTTGATTGGCAACTACAAATTAAATCAGTTTTTCCCCAAGTTAAGTTTGGTTTGCCCATAAAGGTGGCTGCTGAGTGATCCCTCCCTGCCCTCATCTTGATCCACGAGGCTTTCCTTGTATTTTCTCTTCCTTGTCCAGCTGAGGAGGGCGAGGGACAAAGCTGCTTTGTGGGCACATGGCATCCAGCAGGGTCAACCCACTACAGGCATTGTGTCCTACTGATCTTGTGCTGTAAACAGGGAATTTCAGTCTCTATTCCAGTTGTGAGTGATTTAATCTGGTGTTGGGTCAACTCTCAGTGAGGAACCCAACTGCCATCACCTCTTTTATTTCTTTGTAATGGTAATCCTTCTCCTCACACCAGGTCCATTCCCAGTACACCTCTTGGCTGTTACCACTAACTAGGAATGGGGGCAGAGGGAGACTTTCTGTCAAGTCTGTTCATCCCCACTATTCACCTGCTGAGAAGAGGGTTGGAATGACTGGTAGGACCCTCACATAAAGTCCAAGTCACCAGGGATGAGTAGTGCATAACACTGACCTTCATTCCAGCTGCCTCTCCCTTTCTTGGAAGCTGGCTTCAGCCTGTCTTCTTCCCCTTTATCAAACCCTATGATGTATTCAAGGCCACGCCAGCAGTGAGAATTCATAAAGTAAACTCTCAATTTAGAATATATTAAATAATCAGCTACAGCGTGAAGATAGCAACATTTAATTACTCCTACATCCAAAATAGAAGTATCTGCTAAAGCAGAATAATGCTGCAGGCCCTGTGGATGCAGCTCATGCTAATGATGCCGACTCCTGGAGGCTTTCCCTGCAGTTCAGCAATTCCCAGCACAAAGGACTCCTTTCCACCAGAGCCCTACCCACAGGCTTTTCGTGCCAGAATGTTAACAGTGGGCACCTGTGACCTTCTACATACATTTAGTGACTTAAAGTGTCACTGGGAAATTTCAAGTTATTAGACATACTGTAAAGCTTATTTTGCTGGATACTGGGACATTTCTTTTAGCACAATAAATTATCCTGAATTCACAGGAGCTTGTTTTGCAGAAATAATAGGACTTTCAAAGGTCAGTGATACTGTACAGATGGCAGGGAAAGTAACAGAGAGGGGCAAGCACTAAATGGATTCATAAAAGGCACAGTATGCAAACAGCAGTCAATAAGGTCTTGCATGAGTATAGTTCTGCTACCACAAAATGTCTGGTAACATTAACATTACAACACCTAGTGAGACTTGATCATAATAAAATTCTTACTTAGATAGCAGTAAAATATTGATTGAATTGTATTGATTGAATTGGGTGGGTTTTTGTAAATTAACAAAAGTTTTCCAAGTATAAACTCTGCAGAGCTGGGTCTGGTTTTCTGGGGGATTATTTTTCACGTTCCATCTTACAAATTGCTGACCCTTCAGTCACAGCAATAAAATCAGGGGAGCCACCCAAGCAGCACAGAGCTCGAGCTGATATGAGGAGTGTTAAACTGATACCTGCCACCTAAATAAACCCAGTCTGATGCTCTGAGACTGCAGTTGCTCACAGGTGTCCACTGGGTCCGTGCCAGCCAGAGTGACTCCACACCCTTGCAAATCCAGTGTTTTCCATTTACATTCCTCAGCAAGGATTCGGAAGCCAAACTTAAGGAAACTGAGCTGGAAAATGCCGCTCATAAAATTTTTAGTACTTCACACGGTGTAATGCAGAGGCTTAAAAATGTTACTAAGCTTGAGAAATGTTCTCGTGTAAGTAAATAACCATTTTATTATTGTGGTAAGTCAGTTCCGACCAGTGTTGGTGCTGATTAATGCACTTCTTAGATGTGTGGCAGGCACCAGAGGTGTCCATTAATTAGGGCTGCTGCACAGTCTGTCGTGTCTTATTGCTTAATTAATAAACATTAGCCAAGATATTGAACTTTCCAGTGAAACTAGTGTACTGATGAACAGATTGTGCTAAGAGCCTGGCTTGCTAATGCTCATGTGAGGGAAGGAAGATTTATATTCCATGCATTTGGTTTGTAGAACAGCTGTGAGTGAAGTCTCCTGGGACACCTGTTAGAGCCACTCTATAAATCAGTGCAAGTTGCAGAGCTACAAGATTCGAAAAGAAAAGGAAAAAAAAAAGAATATTTAATGGATTGCAATTGGTATGCAAGAAAACTACTGTAGCAAGAAGAATAAAACTCCTTACACTCCTGAAAGTTTCTTGTAATAGTAAAAAAAAAAAAAACCCTTACCCTAATATAATTCTTTCAACTTAGAGATATCAGAACACTTGGCAGGTGCCTGGGATTGGCTCTGTACCATGAGGCAGGAGCAGCTGCCTCTCCCTTCTGGTAGATTTTTCAGATGTCAGAGGACACAGGGACAATGTCCCTATGGATTCTCTTCTGTCTCAGTCTCATTAAAAAATCTGTCAGTTAACTTTTGAAAGCAAGACTCTATGTTACTGTTAATAATGAAACTATCAGGAAGATTACAGCTTTATTTTCAGGTGCCATTTTTGCCAATTTCCAATTATTTCAAAATTAAACATGCATAAATTTTATGTAGCAGTCCATAAAATATTGTTCAAACTATTTTGGTTTTATACTGTATTTTTATATTGTTCAGACAATCATAATTAACATTAAATATTAACTCTGTGGTCAAGCTTTACAACAATGTCTAACATAAAAAAAAATGATAAGAGATATTGAACAGGCTCCAGTGTTTAATATCATCTGTATACAAAGATATTAAAAAAATGGTCCCCTTTATAGAAACAAAAACCTAAGTATGAAAAAGCATGGAAATAATTAGCTACGTTAACCATAAAAAATATTCCCTTTCCATTTGATACCCATCAAGTGTTTGCCACAAAACCAGAACCAGAGAGCAGTGATGAGCCTTTTTGTTGTCAGAAACCATGCTCATGTTCCTGTTCTTCCATGTTGAAATAGGTGGGGCACTGATTTGCCATTGTGGAAAGGGTCACACCCATTGCTAAAGCTGCTGCTGTGTCCTCCTTGTAGATGCAGTTGTTTAGACCATCTCATGATTAATGTGGTGTTTCATCAATTTTAAATAGGCAAGGAAAAAACTCATTTCAAAAGAGTGAACATGTATTATCTTTAGATTTACATAATATATAATGCTATATTACTGAGAAAAATTTAGTATTTCTTCCCTTTTAGGTATCTAATTCTTCTGTTCAGAAAGATAGGTGCAGAGCAGGAGCTAAAATAAATATATAAAAACACAAATAAGGAAATAAAAAAAATCTTCCTTTGAGACTTGATTCCCATTGCAGTACTATACAGGTATCACATCTTTACTCTGGCTTCTTAGACTCTAAAAATAATACTTGCCTCACAAGAGATACTAATGAGGCAATATTTGCAGTTTATTTTTTAAATGTGCTGCTATCAATGAGAAATTATAATTATCCCAGAACCAGCTGGTATTTCTCTTCATACTGAAATGTTCCTTTAGAACAAGAGAGGAAACAAAATGCACTGTAACTTCATTTTCAAAGATATGTTATAACAGAGTGTGTCAGAGAAAATATGCCTGGAAAATTATAGTTGGGTTTGGGTTTTTCCTGAATAAATTATTTCAGAAAAAAAACACTCATCAGCCCTCTATTGTTGTTTCCAGTAAATGCAATATGTCTCATAAAAGTAGAGCAGGTTTCCTGTTGCCTTAAAAACAACATACATTTCCTAAATTCATCATTTGCAACAGGCACAGTTAAATGTAAAGGTTATGATATCTGCATTTCTGGGCTGCTAAAGATTACCTCTTTAGTGAGTGTCAGCTCGGCTGTATCCCTCACTGTCATGAGTACCCGTGTTTTATGAGGCCACTGCTTGAGATACACTAATAATAAATGTAAAAATAAATGTGAATAAAATTTCACGTACATGGGGTTGAATTTCACCCACCCCGGGTCTACGAGAGCATATCTGTTATTGGCAGGCAAGGTTTTGAGGCAAATATTTCCCTGGCAATCCGGTGGCACTTTTTCCTGTGGCAGCTATTCCAGCAAACGGATTTTGGACAGTTGAAATAAATCCCAACAAGTAGCCAAAATGTCAGAGGGAAGGATCAGCGTATTGACACACCATTTACTGCTTGGTGTCACCTCTGGGGTGCAAAGCCAGTCCTGCCTGCACGTATGTGACCTGTCAACACCCACAGGTGAAGCAAATTCAGAGATCCCTACAGCAAGGAATGCTGCCTTTGGAGTAGCCCAGACTTCCCAGTGGGTCTAAAACTCACCCTGTGCAAATCCATGTTGCAAACACTTGTTTTTCATGCATAGGTGTTTTACCAGGATACGAGACGGCCAAACCCTACATAGGACCAAGTCCCCTAATTTTATAAAAGTCAAACAGCCAGCTGTGCACAGCCACAAAAGCCTTGTTCCATTTTCTGCCATGCCATGGAGGGGAGCTAAGGTCCTAACATAACCTCATTACTCTTATTTTATTTGCATAAGGCTTGCAGCATAAGCATTAGGCATTGCTAAGCAGAGCCAACGGCATTAATTCAGAATTCAAACAGAGAACGAGGAAAATAAGATTGAATATATTGAAGCCAGAGATAGTGCTGTAAAACATTGATTTGCTGTAAACAGTTTAATGTACCCCCTTCCAGCTGCATTAATATGTCTGCAGCATGTACATACATCTGTGTGGAAATGATGGATGTCTCCTTACAGCAGAGTGGGTATAAATGCTGTAGGTCTGCTTCTCCTAAGTGCAGTGCCTTATTAGAAATATTTTGTACAATCATTTGTACATTAGAAAACATTTAGCGTGGGTTGGATTTTTATGTGGAAGGGTTATGAATTGGTCTTATTCCTAGCTCTGTTTTTGGTCAACCACTTAGTAGCTTCCCATTCTTTTTTTATGCAAAAAATCCTGACTATGTAATTTGTATCATCATCCCCACTGCTACCACCACTCATTGCAGAATCTAGGGACCTTTTCTCCTGGTTTTTAAATCTTACATGGAATGAATCCATGTGAGCTTTTATGAATCCATGAATTTTTCCATGGATCTTACCTACTTTTGCTACTTCCTGTCAGGTAGGGCTGCTACTCTTCTTTTCAGACAATGTGTTTTTCTACTTTAGTGTTCAGTGTTTAGTGTTACTAAAAACGAGCCTTCCTTCAACTCTGATCAATTGCAATTTTTCATACATGTGATTTATCTGTGACATTGGACCTTTTTCTTTCCAAATCCTGACCAAACATGTTTCCTACATCTGCTGAATCTGAATACCTTAAGGTGTGCAGTAATACCACAATTTTAGTAACTTTTGTTGAGTCATAAACACCTTGCACAACCCAGGTTTCTGAGGGAAGCTGTGTGAAATAATGTCACTGTTAACTCAGTGTGCGGGACATTGCCTGAATTAATCAGACTTTAAGGGTCAGCAGAAACATGTCATCACCAAGTAAATTTGTCAGGTGTTTTAGTGCTTGGCTGTATTGTGACATTGCCACACACCAGCACTTTGTCAGGATGCAAATATTAGAGCATGATGGTAGCAGTGGTCACACCAGGTTAGTTTGTGGCCCTGTGACTCCCTTCAGTACAAAGTCAACCTGAAGTGGATGAAAATTACCTATTTGTTAGTTCTTTATTCTCCTCCTCCTTTTTTAGCTGTTTGAAGAGGGTGCCCAGAGAGCCTAAAAAAGTGCCTACTGTGTTTCATACACCTACAAAACATTTCATGTCTACTCTGGTTACACGTTCCTGCCAGTCCTGATTCCCCGAGTGAGGCCCCAGCAATGCACAAAGTGAGGGGGGCTGTGCCATTAATTATCATCACTGGTTTCTAATTGTCAGCTTCCCACTGTCCTTTCAGTATTTAATACCCAGTAATCACATGCACTGTATTTCTTTAGGTTATCCTGTCTATTGAAGAGGGCTACAGGCTTCCAGCTCCCATGGGCTGCCCAGCTTCTCTTCACCAACTAATGCTTCACTGCTGGCAAAAGGAGAGGAACCACCGTCCAAAATTCAGTGACATTGTCAGCTTCCTGGACAAACTGATCCGCAATCCAAGCACCCTTCACACCCTAGTGGAGGATGTACTTGTGTAAGACACTTTTGGGTACTTTTTATATATATATATATATATATACCACAAGTGGCTATCATTATGTGTTTTAGGTGGGTGAAAGCCACAAAACCCTGGCTTCACGAAGTTATAACTTTAAGTGTCTTTTAATGTTTGCATTATTGTTAATACACTGTAAAGGGACTTTTTTTCTCAAGTCATGCAGATTGTATTAGGTTTTGGGGTTTTTTATCTCTGTTTGTACACTGTCTATATCCATAATCTTTGTGAATCTCTTTGTTCCTGGGGTTTTTTTCTTTTTTTTTGGTGTTTCTCCTATGTGCTTGCTTCCTCTTTGTAATTTTTTTTCTCTAGTCAACAACCCGTCTCTCCACCTAACAGTGCTCAAGCAATTTCTGAACTGCCTTGGAGCAATATTCTGCAGAAAGTAGTTGTGTCTTAGCTTGCTAAATCTTTATCTGCAAAAGAATGGCAACAGTGACCAAATAAGAAATTGTGCTATTACTATTCCACAACAAATTTTTGATAGGGACTTGTTGGATTTAATGTCCATCCACTAGAGTTAGTGGCCTCTATGTGTATGTGCATATACATATATATAGATATAGATATGCCTTGCTACCTGTACCTGGGCCACTTTATTTAGCATCAGAGTAATGTATTTTTATGTCTTTTTATTTTACAACATTACTCAAGATCTAAAAAACTTATGCCTTATTGAACTATTATTGCTTGGGAAATCAAGGTTTTCTCCAATAATTTGAGAATGCTTGATGCAGTCAATCTGAATGATTACTGTGTTATGGGTAAATTAGGAGGTCAGCAGTTATTCTACAGAATTATACATAGAGTAATTCAGATTGGAAGGGATCCTGGTAGGTCTTTAATTGCAGTTTGTACCTAACAGTGTTCTCCTGTCCTTCAGTTTCTCCCTCTATCATTTTGATAGTGCAAATGACAATCAGTGTACTTAATGTATTTGGATATGTGTGAGTGAAACTTGGGATGTTAAGACATTAGGCTCTGCTGCTTCCTACATTGCACATAAGTCCTCTTCCACAGTTAATGTTGGCTGGCTTTTGCTGTCTAAAATTTCATTTTAAATAAATGCTATCTTTCTCCTAAAGGCTCACATGAAGCTTTTATAAACAGCAGTGTGCCTGTTTTCTGCATTATGTTCATACAGCTTCTCTACACAAAATGTAGGAAGTCAATTGAAGTTTCGAGTCCTCCCAAGTGTGGCACACAACAGAAGAATAGAAATAAATGCCCCAAAACTGTAATCCTTATTTTTTCCCCCACCTTTCTGTTTCTGTTTATTGCAGATAAATATATCCCAGATATATGGAAAATATTAGGGGAAAGAACTCCAACAGAAATGTGACTAAATTAGTTCCTTCATTTTTTACTTGCTACTCTATATAATTCTATGTAAAAGCAAGATATAACATTTTGTTCTTTTTGCTGCTTTTAGGGTGAGTTTGAGCTTTTGAATGCTGTAATCAAAGTGTTCCTGTAGCATAATGGTATCACACTAAGGAGCCATTTGGGGGCGGGGGGGGTTGTAGATAAATGTAAAAATCATCTCATGGTGTTCTAATTTTTTAAATTGCACCTCATGTTAAATTCTCTTTGTCCTCTACTTTGACTACTGCATTAACAAATTACTATAATCCTGAACACAATGATGTGTAAAGAAACATTCTGTGGGAACAAAAATAAGAGCAGTGGGAGAGGCCTTTTCCTCAGCCTGTTACTGAGCTGCAGGTCTTTAACAAAATGTTCTGTTTAAGTAGTGTAACTTGGCAGACTGACATGATTTATAAGCTTTAGACAACAGGTTAAAGAAATCTTCAGTTTATATCTGACCTTTACAGCTCAGACTCCTCTCTCATTCCTTCTGCCTTTCAGTAAAAACAATGTCTACCAGAGTAAATTGGGTGTCATATATTGTACTACTTTGGTAACCTTTGCGTTTTGTTTTTTACAGAATGCCAGATTCACCTGGTGAAGTTCCAGAATATCCTTTGTTTGTGTCAGTCAGTGACTGGCTGGACTCCATAAAAATGGGTCAGTATAAAAATAACTTCATGGCAGCAGGTTTCACAACTTTGGATATGGTCTCAAGAATGAATATTGAGTAAGTATGTAATCTATTATCCCTACAGTGACTAATCAATCTGAATTTGTTTGGATGCTGCAGTGACATAATTATTGTGAAGTATGGAGCAGGGCTTTCATTTCATTTCCTACGTCAACTAACAAAAGACAAATACAGATTTTTACCACAACAACACAAGAGAAATATATGATGAAGAGACCCAGAACCAATAATTTCATTCTGTGACAACACCAAATATATCCAAGGTCAGGCAGTGAGTGTGTTTCTTGGGGAATCAGTTTTGATCTAGACCACTGAAGTCAATGGCAAAAATAATTTCTTACTTGGTTATGGTCATCATCAAGTCCACATCAGTCCTCATGAGGAAGTTGTTCCACACCTTGAGGCCCTTTTTCAACCATGTCTGATACCACTCAATTGTTTCTTTAATGAAAACCCTGCACCCACCATATAAGTGTTTGGGCAAACTATGGATTAATATGGTAGCATGCTGATAGGATCTATTTTACTTCCTATTCTCTTCCCATTAATTCCTAATCTTTTATTTGATGCTGGGACACTGTATTAATAATGGGGTCAGTTAAGATTCACCAGTTGTCCATGGGAGGTAAGGACTGGTTTTCTCCAGCGTGTGTCACTTCACATTCACCTACAGTGAATTTCAGCTGCTGCTTTATGGCACAGTCATTGTCTTCTAAGATCCTTCTAAAACTCTTCACAGGCAGTCCTTTCCCTTCCTACCCTGAACAATTCAGTCTCACCAGATGACTTTTCCACCTCTGTGCTCACCTGTTTTTCCAGACCATTTACTGATTTGTTGATCAATAATGTTCAACATTATCCCAGCATAGGTGCCTGCAGATTTCTATCAATAACAACATTGTAACACCTGACAATTTACTCCTAACTTCCTGTCTTTAAACCTGTAATTTAGTCACACAAAGACTACCTTATACTACGTATTTTGCTACACCTTGGGTTGCATAATAATTGCCCCTTATTTTCATTATAAAGCTTTTATGAGGAATCTTCTCTAAAGCTTTTGGAAAGCCAAGTGAGGTGTATCAAATGAATCACCTTCATCCATACATATGCTCCACTGGAAACAGGTAATTTTCTAAAACAGAACTCTTCTTTGCAAATGCCGTGGTGAGTCGGGTAGATCATTTATCCAAGCATCCAATAATTCCATGCTTTACTGTAGTTTCTGTTATGCCCTGTCATTGCAGACTCACAGGTCTGTGGCTCCACAGATCTTCCCTGGAAACACTTTGTCTGGCACCACACTCCATGTCTCAGGCACCAAGAAATTTTTAAGCATGTGGAACACAGCTGATAAACTCCTGCTCTCACATCCCTGTTAGTGATTCCACTATTTCATCCTTGTTCCACTGTTCCATCTTTTAGAACTCTTGGCTAAATATTGTCTCGTTTTGGAGGTGGGTTTTTGCTTGTTTTTCAGTTTGTCCTATAACCTCCCCTCAACTTCAGACAGATACTTCACAAGTCCCCCAGAAAGGATCTGGTAGAGGAGTCACTTCAATTTTTTCTGCAGTGAATTCCAACACAAACAAATGGTTTAGTCTTCCAACAGTGGCCAGTCTTTCAGAGCTCTTTTATACTCAAATCATCACTAGATTCTACAAACTTTCTGGCAGGTTTCTGGTACCCAGTGAGTCTGCAAAAATATTTATTATGATTTTTATTTTTGGTATTACTACATTTGTTGGGGGTTTTTTCTGTTTGTTCACGAAGTTCTCTTTTAGCCTGCCTTACTGTGCTTTTACAGATAATCTAAGGTTATCATCCTTTCTACTTTCTTTCTTTAGATACTACTTCAATCTTTTGAAAGATCCCTTCTTTCTTCAAATAACCTCCATTACCCAAGACCTGCTGGCTTCTTTCTGTGCTTTATCAGGCCTTCCTTGATAAGTGCTAAGCACTGGTCTTGCATTTCTAATACTACTCTCCACCACAAAGCTTTATTCTTTTAGCTGACTGCTTTTAGCTTCTCAGATTCTCAGTATTTTTGCCCAGCCCCTGCTGACCTCAAGTGTTGTGTATCATCCCCCGCGTGGACATTAAGCCTAAGTACATAATAGTTGCCAGTTATCCATTGGGTCTTCATCTGGAGGATACAGAGGCAGGTATCTTGAACTGAAAATCTGAAGCTCATAAAGGTCATGCCTCACCCCATGAACTCCTTTAGCAGCTGCATCCTCAAACATTTAGGATATCTAAACAAGCACTGTCTATGTATGTCACAGTGTGGGATTTGCACAATTGACAAGGCGTAGCTGAAGTTTCCTGCCCTCATCACCTCTGTGGTCTTTTCTCAGCATCTTGCAGCTGGGGATGTTTACAGAACAACTAAACTAGTGGATTGTGGTGAACTCTGAGGGTTCTTGACTTCATTCCTGCCAAAGCTCTGTGGGTGAGCTCCCTGCTCTGGGGCACAGGTCTAGATGAGATGAAGGGAAACTGGGAGGGAAATCTGGGTCAGGCTGGAAGATTCACTGCTGGTTTGACTTTAGAACATCTCTCACTACCATTCCCCAGATCATCAGAAGCACAACCTCTGTCTGTTTTTTCTGTCTCAGGACTGCAGTAGTGAGTGTATCAGCCCCAATGTTTTGCAAATATGAGTAGGAAACATTTGCTACTACAACATTACTAAAAATGTGAAGAGTTTTAGAACCCACCTTCCAGATTATTCCTCAAGACTTGGAAAAATTACTTGACGGTTACTATCACAAAAGCCCCAGTGTTCTAACTGCATATTTTTTATTAGATTCTTTTTCTTAAATTACTGTCTTTAAAAAATTGAAGTTGGCAGGTCAAGAAAACTTGAACATTTACAGCTTCCCAGTCAGGAAGGTAAAAAAAGAACAGTTCATCATAAATTTATATTCTTTTGTGTACAACAGGCTTTACTATACTTGCATCCAAGATGAAACTTTCTATCTTGCAGTGACATTAGAAGAATTGGAGTTGTACTCATTGGACACCAGAGACGAATAGTCAGCAGTTTACAGACTTTGCGGTTACACATGATGCACATACAGGAGAAAGGATTTCATGTATGAAAGTACTAGAACCAACTGTGTTTTGTGCCTCAGCATTTCTAAAATGGAAAAATATTCTCATTCTTTCCTTCTGCTCTTCCCAACTTCGAGGACTGAAGTCTCCTGTTCAGACTTTAAAAGTACTTCAATGATAATGCTTCCAAACCGGAGTTTTTAATCACACTGCACAGCTCCTCCACCAGTTATCTGCCGATAAAATCCTGGCCTACTGCAAGACTCTTGCTACACATTGATGAATAACTCAGCATGGATGTGTAACTTTGTATAACAGTATTTGGGAAACTTTCATGAACTTACTTGAAAGTAGTAATCTATTTGGCCTGGTGTGGCTTCTTTATCGATGTATTTAGAGTTTGCTGGTAGATCAAAAAAGTATTTGACTTATTTCATGTTCTGTGACCATGTAACTTCCAATACCAAATGTGCAATCAAAAAGAAGTTTAACATAAATATTTATTTTATCTCTTAATTAAATCCAAATGTATGGGTCCTATCATTATATTACTTTACAATAGTTTGAAAGCTGGTAAGATGGTGCCTCAAAATATTACTATTGTTTGCAGAAACGACTGATGATTTTATGTAGCGAGTTTTCATTGTGTGAATAATTGGAAGGCTAATGAGAGTAATCTGTTTGAAATCTTAAGGAAGGTCCTTGATTTTTAATTACTTCAGCACTCGACACTTTTTATGCTTTAAATTTTTATGATTAGGTTGGAAAACATGTTCATCCCTGGGATTCCTCACCATCCTTCATTGTTATTTTTTTTTAATGTAATACTCAGCATTTGCTTCTACTACATGGCAAATATTCACCGGAAAACTGATTGTAACGTTTCCATGACCACATGTAAAACAGTTGTCAGCTGTATTGTGGCCACACAGACTTTAGAAAGCTTTCTGTTCCAGAAATGCAGGTCTCTGCTGCTTGTACTTGGGCATAATTCCCAGCAGCAGTAGCAGACCTTAGAGGGCCAGCCATCAGTGGGGTGATGTGGTTATTCCCGTGGGAGCAGGCCAGCCGTGTCCTCCTCCAGCTGAGGGCAGCGCTACAACCACCCGCTGATGCTGGAAGTTACACGCTGCAGGAGTCAGCTATCTTGTACATGGGCAGGAAAGGAGATGTAGGACAGCAGTGTGGCAACATGTTGCCTTGACTCTGCTTCTGACTGCTTTTAGAAGTGAAAAAGCAGATTCTGCTGAAATGGAGCTCTGGTCACTACAGGCTGGATCTTCATTTAGTACAAATATCTAAAGGACATCCATGATAATTACCTTTAGAACCCTTCAATAGCCATATTTACATGCAAGAAAACGTCTGCAAAGGCCTGACATAATATTTGTACCTCTCTTAAGACTTACAGCTTTCATGTTTTATTCAGACAACTCACATGGACATGCTGGGCTACACTTCCAAATTTTTGCATGGGATACGCACTACTGGGAACAAGGGAGCGACTGCATGTCTGTGTGCTGTGAAACCACACACAGATCTACAATGCATGTCACATGTAACCTGGCTGCAGATGCTTTTTGTTGACTTATACGTGGTTTGGAGGATATTTTTGAGTTATGTGGCATTCCAGTATACTCGAGCCTTACAACTCTTCTGTTGAAACGTGCATCTTGGGTAATTAGTATAGTATGTGTGTATATCAAAATGAGCTGACTACTTTATGTAATCATAACGATATTTACCGCTTAATTTGCAGCTTGTAAATGTATTTCCTAACTCTTGGAAAAGGCTGCCATTGCGTATCAGTGGCAAAGAACAAAAATCAGAAAGTAACTCAAAAAAGATAATGCTTCCAACCAGATCACAGAGTAAGACACGCTAGGCCTGATTCGCTGTTGTCACTTTATGTTGGAATAACTGCATTAATTTAGAAGAGATAACAACAGTGCACTAAGTAAACTTTCCTTTCTTTCCTTTAAAAAAAAATTAAAAGGCAGATTTAACTGAGGAGCAAGTTTCATAAAGATCAAGATTCACCGGGGTGTTCCACAATGCCAATTGGATGAGCTTGTTTAAAGCAGAGCAGCTCCAGTCCTGTTCTAGCTACAAAGGTAATTTTGCCAGCATGAGTAGGAGCAAGTTTCACAAAGATCAAGATTCACTAGGGTGTTCCACAAGGCCAATTGGATGAGCTTGTTTAAAGCAGGGCTTGTTTAAACAAGTTCCAGTCCTGTTCTAGCTACAAAGGTAATTTTGCCAGCATGAGCAGTCCCCCCTTAACTCAGTAGGACTGCACAAGCACGTGTGTTTTGCAGGATCACAGGCCTTTAGTGGGGGGAAAAAAAGCATCTGTTCTTTCCTGTGACTGTCACTTGAAAAATTCCACCCCGATTCCACATCTGAATAATTTTTTGGTAAAAGTTCTCTTATGGAAAGAAAATCATACCGACCTGAAGCCCAGAGTAATTTGAAAGCTGATTTTCCTTTATCATTTAATTATCCATTTTGCTTGCCATTGCTTCCATGGGCCAACAATGGGACATGTGTGGAAGAAGCCTCTCCCACAATTAAATACATTACTGATGAGGTATGAGTCTGCTCTTTGTTAATGGGGTTTCAAAACCATCCAAAACTGATCCAAACCATGTATGTGCACTTTCAGATTGTCTTTTGCAAGATTTTTCATTTCTGGTATTGAGGATTGGCAGAATGACATTGTTACATGCACACAACCTGGATATATTTCATGAAAATATATTTCTAAATTTATCACACTACTGAAAATATATTTTCAATAGAAAAAAATATAACAATATTAAAACATTTATTAATCAGATATATTTTTTATATAACCAGTGTTTGAGTAAAAAGAAAGGAAAGAACAAGGGATTCTTTGAGTGAGGACATTTATTAATAACATTGTAAATCCAGGATTTTGTGAGTTTATACAGTTTGTTTTTCTGTTGTTGTTGTGGTGCAGTATGACACTTCTATAATAGTTATCTTGATCAAATTTACATTTTCCTCATTTTGGAAACATTTTATTTGCTCTTGTGCTGAGTCCAAGTCTACTCTTGGTTTGGGGTTTCTTTCCCATTTTATCATTTAAAAACAAACACATAACAGGTGTTATTTTTCAAATGTGAGCTTAATTCTGTGCAGGCCACAAATGTATATGTGAAACTAGACTAGCTTTCTTTGTTACAGTGGATACTTTCTTCAGGTGAAAATTAGCTCTAATTATCCTGCATATTGCAGTATGCAGTTGGAGTTTAAATTTCACAAATTTAAGCAAATTTAGTAGGCTGTTTCTGAGAATCTGGCCCACATTACTGAGTGCTTCATGACTAAAAGCAGTCACTGACAGTTCACAAAATAAAGCGTGTGTGATATGCAAGCAACAACAACAAAAAAGGCATTAAAATGTGGGCATCATAAAGACATCATTCTAAGTTATTTATAAGTAATATTCATGTGTAGATTTTTCTCACAGCTCTGATTTCATTGATCTAGAATAAAATCATCTATGGGCACTATTACCACCCAGTGATACTTGTGTATCACTTAAGCCTCCAAGACAGCTTAAGTGAGGGCCTTGACTGCTGAGCAGGACCAGGGCAGTGTCTCTTGGCTGGTACGTGCATCCCACCCCTTTCCATCGTGTGGCCAATCCCAGTCCTTCCAAAGCTGACTGACAACCAACCTGGACATGCAGCCAAGTGGGGTGGTCATCTAACCTAGAAACCATACCAGTCATCCTTACTACCCCCACTTGTCAGTCAGAGACCTGAGACCTGCTGGGAGGAATCCTTCTGACCTAATTTTGGAGGTCTGCATTTGAGCTGGTCACCCGAGGCTCCCTTTTAATCAGCAAAGTGGGCTCCTGTAAGATGTGAGTCATCTGAAAATTCTATCTATCTATCTATCTATCTATAAATAAAACTATCTACTTCTGGGTTAGATGAATTGTGCTAAAGAAACACCTGTTTCTCTGCATTCAGTGATAGCTCATATCCAGCCATCTGTGCTCAGTCAGATGAATCTCATGCCATAATTGTATCCAGTTCTCATGCTGAACCTGTGAAAAAGAGAGGATCTTGTTCATAATGCTGATGTTAAAATTGAAAAAATCATAGCAGAAGGTTTAGTAAATTTTAGTCATGAGGTGTTTCCACACTGGAATTACTGAGAAGCAATAGGATGCCATGAGGTGAAAGGAAGAGAATTGGGTGATGTAAATCAAATTTTTTTTTTAAACAAAAGTTATCCTTTTTGTTTCCCAGGGACATAAATCCAGTGTCTGTCCAATAAAAGCTTAGACACATGCTATGCTTTAGGACATCAGCCAGGACTTTTCAGCATAAGGCAATCCTTTAATTTCAATCAGTGCACTCAACAACTAATTCAAATAAATTAATTGCTCTAGACAAACATTCTTCTCCAAAATTGTGCTAGGTGTTAGTTGGATTATTCTGGCACAGAACTCTCAGACTGCAGTACTTTGATTTTTACATAATTTAAGACTGACTATCTATTTGCCATTTCTTAACATAATGAGCCTAACATGGGCTTCAATAATTTCTTTTTCAGTTCATATTCCTATAGGATCCAAAGGTGGGTCATAAGTAACATACAGATGCCCTTTATCCAGGTGTAGTTGAGATTTACCATGTGCAGTAGCTGGGATTGTGAAGGTGCCCACTGAGACTCTACTAATCTCAGCAATTTCCATGTCAGAATGACCCCATGGGACTGGATCAGCACGGACAACTCACTTCTAATCCAGTCCAACATATCTTTAGTTATGGCCATAATAAAAAGTCTGTCTCCCATTGCATCTTCTAGGGAAAGTACTACAAATAGAGATACTTATGGCATTTGCACATGGTTGAAGAGCACTGTATTCTGTTAAATAGTTTTCTTCCAGAATACCCTTGTTTACCAGTTGTAATTGATCTTTCTTGAATAAATGGCAAGGATAATTTTTTTCTTTTTTTATAATGATACTCTTTTTTTTTTTGAGAATAAAGGAAAGACATATTGGGCTGGGCTAACTCTTAGTAGGACAATGATCTTGCAATCTTCTGGGGAGACAAATGAATCAGTACCGAAAAGGAAAAAAGAATCCCTAAAGCCTACAATAAAGTAAAAAGGGAAGAGCTGTCCATGTCGTGCCAAGGAGCTCTAACAAAACCACAAAAGAGTTGTGTAAGAGAGTTGCAGGTACTCACAGCTCACACACATCTTCTACCATCAAATACTGTATTTAGTGGTGCACACTGCTCATCCCTGAGTGCTATGGTTGTATATAGTTCCTCAGATTATGAACCTGGATAAGGCAAACACATTAGGGTTATAAAACATTTGTCTATATGTACATAAAGAACTGTAAATATAACGTATATCATCATGTCTGAGGTTTTTCAAACCTACAAATTAATTAGCTATTACCAATAACAATAATGGGGTTGATCTGCTCCATTGGCTTTTAAAATGTTTAATGGCATGCACTGTATGTGTGTTGCTCTTCCCAAACTTCCTTGGCTTGTTATCTGGAAAGGGACAGCCTCTCTTTTCCTTCACTGGCAGAAAAAAAACATTTTCAAACTGACTTACAGAAAGTTGATTACCCTTCTACTGCCACCTCACCCAACCCCTTCCTACTGGTTCCCTTCCAGAGAACAACTAATTACTGTAGAAATCAGTGATCACATAGGGGAGGCATTATTATAATAATAATTATTATTATAATAAGATGTAGTCCATGCTATAAAAAGTTTGGGCTCCTCTGCTGAAGTCACCAAAGATGTTTAAGCAGTAAATAAATTATTTTCTTTTAAGTAGCCATTTTTAGACACTTTGGAGGTTAAAATGAGGGAAACTTTAAAGGGAGTATGAGTAAGGATATGCCAGCATATAGTAGAAAAAGATGTACTGCATTTTAGAAAGGAAAACTAACAAAAATGATGAAAAACATAAGGTTGAAAAATGGATGAGTTAAAATATATTTCCATATTTTATATGTGAAATAATGTAATGTCAGTTCAGTGAAATCTATTTGTGTGTATGTTCCTTTAAATATGCCACATGAGTATCTCTTACCTTTATTTCCTGGAAGAGATTTCCCAAGTACCTCTCTCTTCCACAAAAGTTTAGCATATTATCTGACTTTTCATACCTGTGTAATTAAACTGGAATAAAAAAAAAAATGCAAGTTCTGACACTGAAGACAGAGGGGAAAAAAAAATATATTAAAAAGATCAGTCTCAAAGTAATTTGAGGTTTTCACACGTGTTCTTCTCTCTTCCCATCCAAAATTTTGACCTATATCAAACTATCTGAGCTCTTTGAATAGTAGTTGATTGATGTATCAGTAATAATCTAAGTGCTGTGCCATGCTCAGAAACTCCTGAATCTGTAAACACTTATGTATTTCCGCAGCTTATTTCATATAAGAAGGATGACTTGAAATGGGACCATATACATGAGCAGGACTTGCAAATCAAAATTCCTACAAAATATTTTTAAAGCAGCATGAGATAACATATTTTGTCATTCTTTCAAACTTCAGTACCATATATAGTTTCCTTGAGGAGTCCAGTATATTCACTGACCCCATCACAAAATCTCTTGCACGTATTCTTGATATATGAGTAGATATGGTTAAAATTTGAGAATAAACCATAATATTATACTGGTACCTCTTCATTACTGAAAATTCAATGAAGAACCGTTAAGCAGCAGCATGTGTGTTGAGCATGGTAGGCAAGCCAAACCCCTGGGACTTAAAACTCACAAATCAAAGAGAAATCTAGCTCTCTGTGTTCTGAACTATGTGACAACTGGGGCCTTGACTGTGTAGAATTGACCCTGTATCTGGAATCTGAAAAATAAGATTTTGGACAAATCTGCTTTGGAATCTAAATATTCATTTCTGGTTGTGGATGATAAAAAAGTTCCCGCTGAAACAGTCTGGGGAGTATTTTCACAATATCATCACTGCATAACGCTCTGAGTGATATGAAAAAAAATCTACTTGTTGATTTTCCAGGATCCAGTCTACAACAAAAAAAAACCAGGTACAGTTGTCATTATTTAGATTAGAACATCCAGCAGACACAGTTCTGTAACCCATGAGTACTTGTCCTTATTGTTGCATACTGACTTTTTTGAGAGGAACCTAAATAAACAGTGAAGAATAGAACTATCCAGTTAAGAGTGGCTTACAAACTGAGTTTCAGGCTGAGCTTGACTTGAAAATGATTAAGAAGCAAAAAGGAAAAGCATAATAGGATTCTTTTTTTCTTTAGGAAGTTGAATGCTCTGAGCTGTAAAACTTACCATCACAGTCTCTATG